TTTTCGAAGGGGAAAGCTTGTGTGGACTATTCTTAAATAGTTATTCATGAATGTGTTAAATAAGACGTCTACATCATTGCCGTTGTCATTAAATATACTGTCCCAGGATTCGTAACTCAGTCTATTTTTAAATTCCTCCACAGAATATTTATTTATGCTTCTAGTATAATATCCACTGTGGTTATCTATTTGAGTGTCTATATATTTTATAAATAACAATTGAGCATGATGGTCAGATAATCCGTTATATAAAGGGGAAACATTGTATTTTGTAAATTTTTGCTTATCCTTAAATATATTATCTATTGCTGTGCTTGTGTGATTATGAACTCTGGTAGGGAAATTCACTGTTGCCCTTAGGTTATAGGATAATAATAGAGCATCTAATTGCCTTCTCCTATCACTGACTATGAGATAGTCAGTGTTTATATCCGGATTCTATAGGTTTTATCCGTAGATAATTTAACGACCCTTACAGTGTCGCCACTGCATAGCGTCGAAAGCGTAGAAGATGAATGAACGACAAAATGGATAGGTTAGGCCGCGCCATAGCTCAAGCGGTTAATCGCTGGCTTCCCACCTAGGCGGCCCGGGTTCGATCCCGGGTCTGGTCAAGTGGGACTTGTGGTGGACAAAGTGGCGCTGGGGCGGGTTTTCTCTGAGTATTTCGGATTGCTCTGCCAATCTTCATTCCACCAAATTCTCCATCATCATAATCACCCGGGGCAGGCTACAATAGGCCAATCAGTGGCCGCCGTGCCGAGTGGACCCAGTTGGACTCCACCACCCCACTAAGCGAATTAAAAAAAAATGGATAGGTTTTGGAAGGAGATGGTGGCCTGAACGTAGTACTATTCCAGAATTTGGTTCGAGGAACTGGAGAAAACCTCAAATAACTTCAATCAGGAGAGACAGTATCCCGGCCGAGTGTCGAGTCGTGTACCTCCCAAGTACAAGTATAAAGCGTTACCTCTAGATGAACCTTTTCGGTCTACATTCGATGTACGTCCTGAAATTCGTTGCACTCATAATTCTTCGAGAACTGTGCAACTTTATCATCATTTGAAAGATTTGAGTTTCTCACAGCGGTGATTATGAGGATTTTTGTCTTCTGGGATATAACGTCTTGTAGTCCGTTGAAAGTCACCAGGCATTCCGGAGGAACATTTTGCCTCGATCTTTAAGGTTTTGCTGTCCATGCAGTCTGCTTCTTCGGAAGATGGAAATGAAATATTCCTCCGAAACGTCGGTGAACTTTCAACGGACTACACGACGTTATATCGCAGAATATAGAAAACTTTCTATTTCTAGGTTGACGGATCGGGAGTCGGTATAGTGACTGACTATGGGCTGGATGATCGAGGGATCGGAGTTCGAGTCCCGATAGCGTCAAGAATTATCTCTTCTCCTCTTCGTCCAGACCGACTCTGGGGTCCACCCAACTTCCAACCCAATGTGTACCGGGTGCTCTTCCCCCGGGGGTAAAGCGATTGGGGCGTGAAGCTGACAACTCACCTCCAAGTAGTACTGAGGTCAAGAAAATGTGAATCTATACATCCACTCCTCCATACGCCTTCTTGGCGTAGTGCTTAATTATTTAAGCTCAGGGACAATTTTACCTTATGTAAGATTTGAGGTTTTCACAGCGATGACTATGAAGAATGCCTTTTCTGGGATTTGGCGCCGTGTAGATATTGTGTGAACCTTCTCACGCTGGTTCCTCGCTCGCGAATTTTTCTACCCTGAAGGTGGAGACGATACGCAGCTCCGAAACGTCAGTTCACAGAAGATCTACACGGCGCCACTTCCCAGAAAATGGCATTCTTCAACTTTACACTAACTTAACGGATCAGACTGTCTGGTCTATTCCCATTCAGAATTAATTACGAAATTATGAATCTTGTAGACAGTCGGTAGGGGACGGGGGCACAACTCGACAGCAATGCCGAAAGATTGAATCTTTTTTATCATTATTTATTCTTACGAGAATGAAACATAACAGCTTGACTACGGCAGGAAATGCTTGTGCTTGCTTATGACCGATTAATCCTATATCGTGCTGGGCCCCTATAAACACATGAGCTCGGCCTTCGTAACGTATGTATCACTGGGTCAGAGGCTAGGACGTGTACGGCGATGCTTGTAACTAATATTGATGTATGTGTCTTATCTCATAAACACTATATAACCGTACAAGCCATATGTTGTCTTTCCTATACATCATATTCTAATCCTCTAATAAAAAGGCCCCATTCGCATTGATTGGTTTATCACACAATTAAATCATCATTCATCATAAGTGTTTAATTCGTAATTCAACCGTGACATCCATCAACCCTTCAAACACAATCTTTCATTAGATCCACCGATGCGATATTTCCTCATATAAAACGAATTGATACAAGTTGGATTGGAGGTCCTCACAGTAAGACCTCATGGGCTGCAACGTTGAGTAGTTTCAAAACGGCCAAGCTTTTCCGAGGAATGTGTTCTTCCTAAACTTTGGGCTGGTACCGAACTACACGGCGTTACAACTCGGAAGGCCGCGTTCTTGGGACCTACGAGTATTTAAGATTAAAGCCGAAAACTCAGTAGAATATGCTTTCTCAAATTGCAAATTGTGACCCCTCAGATGGTCGCAGAATATTCGTGAATTATTTAAAATATTACGTATATGAGGACCGCCTCTGTGGGCTAGTGGTCAGAGTTCCTGGTTACAGGTCCAGAGGTCCCGGGATCTTTCCCGGCGCTACCAGATTTTCTGAGAAATAATGTGTCTGAAACGGGGTCCACTCAGCCTCGTGAGGATAACTGAGGAGCTCCTTCAATGGAAAAGTAGCGGTTCCGGTCTAGAAAGCCAAAATTAACGGCCGTGGGAATTCGTTGCGCTTACCACGCGACACCTTCTATCCGCAAAAAGCTGGCACTAACTTCACCGACAAGCGGATGTCGCTCGGTCGATATAGTTCGCTTGCGGACTACAGCCGACGGAGTTTGTTTGTTTTTTACGTATATGGGTGTAGCCACGCATTTTTTTTTTGCAAATCAGTAACTCAAAACGATGTAATACAGGCGTTTACGTAAAATGTAGCTGTAACCGGCGAAAAATTTGGCGAAGCTTTTTTATGACTATATAGGGACATTTTTAGCTTACCGTAAATGTAAAGAGGATGTGATTTAGGTTCCAGCTGTTGTACATGAAGTGGAGGGAGCTTCATTTATGTGTTATTGATGGGCGTCACAGTATCACAAAATATGAGAACCCCAGCAGTACAATATTTAATCAGTAAGGTATTAATGTAACAGCCATGCAAAAACAAATCAGGTAAACATGTTTTTCGTGCTTATAGAACTACTTTTACGCTGGGATAGGCTTGTCAGTATATTGACTAGGCTGCCGGTTGGACGAGCGGGATTCGATTCCAAGCAGAAGCAGAGGCAGACCGGGCGAGGTACCACCAACGTCCTATCAAAGGTTTACCGGGTGCTGTTTTCCCAGGGTGAAAGCAGTAAAGTAGTGAAGTCGACCATTCATCGCCATATAGAGCTGAATTTAAGAATGCAAGGAGCTATACCTTTTCTCCCCTATACGTCTTCATGTCCCTGTGCTTAATTAAGCACAGGGACAACATATGATATTTCTTTGTACGTCGGTGGAGATTCTTACTGTGGTATTCTGGATTATGACACCGTATATCCTGGTATGTAGTTCTCAACGTCTTGGACAAGCTCAGAGTCTCCATCTTCATGGCTACCCTGCAGACTGACGCAGTCTGTTTGTTCGATACGTTGGTAAGCATATACCAGACGACACGGCACCGTGAAGACAGAAGTAATGTGTTCCTACGAAATGTCGGTAATTACCTACAATCCAGATTATCAGAATTCGAAAATATGACGTAAATCTGCTCCTAATATAACCTTGTAAAACGTCATCGATCTCTTGATCAGATAGCGACTTAGGGCGTTGCGTCATGTTTAGGAAGTTGCTACGTTCAGTTTTAATTATACGATTGAAGGGGAAAAAGAACAGGTTACTCTAGAGGTAGCGCTCCAGATTTGCATTCGGCATGTGTCCGGTTCGAATCTCGGCCACGACACCAGCTATCCCAACTGAGGTGTTTCGTGGTTTCTCCTCACTCTCTGCAGGCCATAACCGATTCCTTGGAAATCCTTTCCAATTGCCGCACCATAGCTCAAGCGGTTAGTCGCTGGCTTCCCACCGCGGCGGCCCGGGTTCGAGCCCGGATCTGGTCAAGTGGGATTTGTGGTGGACAAAGTGGCGCTAGGGCAGGTTTTCCCCGAGTACTTCGGTTTCCCCTGCCAATCTTCATTCCACCAAATTCTCCATCATCATAATCACCCGGGTCAGGTACAATAGGCCAATCAGTGGCCAACGTGCCAAGTGGGCCCAGCTTGAGTCCACCCCCCACTATGCAAATTAAAAAAAAATTAAATCTTTTCCAATTCATCATATAACAGTCATTCCAACACCAGTCTTCCTGTATAATGTCGATCGTGAAAACGTCCTTAAATAACTTATGGGGAAAAATAATATGGGAAACAAAACCCTCATACCAGAGATGTCGTTGAACATGCAGGATTTTTTTTCTCTAAGGTTGCCTATTCGATTTATGACGTAACGACAAAAATATTTTAGGCCGACTTACATTTCCTGGCTGTACCGTCACACAGGAACGAAGCGTAAAGTGAGACCTGTGTTTCGAATGTACAGTTATTAACTACGCCTACAGCTGTAGCGAGTTGTAGTGACTTTATCGAAATAATACGTTCAACGGGGCAGTCAAACATGCATATCCGATATGTTCGCGCATGAGCGGTTAGTTCCGTCGTGTGCATCTGTAGAGTAAATAGTCTTTCCGATAGATTTGCTTGTGTAATCATTTTTACGTTACTGATTCTCGTTTGAACACCTTACTTTACACTTCGACATATTCGAAATGTATAAAATAGGCGAAACAACATCGTTTTACGATTGTAGTGCTTGAAGTCTTATACGTGTTGTATCTATTAAGATCAATTCTGTGTTGTTTATACGAAAATCAGGGTTCGGTTGTACAAAAGACGTCATCACGACAAGTGGAAGCCTCTCTGTTCGCCAAGCTGGTCTCGGTTGTCAAGTACGTACACTGCTGTGTTTGTGAATAATGAATTACACTGTTTTTATGACAGGATTAACATTTAAACGTTATATCCCCCCTGAATATCCTACATTCTACTGAAAATTTGAAATTCAAATTATTCACTTTAGATCTTGGGTTCGTCTAAACGATAATGTATTTATATATTCTACGTAACTGTTGAGTGAAGATCGCGTAAAGTAAGTTCAGTCGTTGTCTAATTGGACATCAAAGATTTTCTTCTTTTTCTGTATGCAGTATTTCCATTTTATTAGGCTCGACTGGCGAAGAAGTGTATCACCTCTGTCTTCCCAAACCTCCGACTGCTCAGTTACTACAAAATGTCTATCTTTTCCTTTGTGTGACATCTTTCCAAACCTGTTATCATGATCCTGGTCTCCCTTCTTGGAATTTCCTTTTTTTTTTAGTTTCTTCTTCGAAACTTTAAGATTTTATCTTCATTTTAAAACTTCTCCATAACTTCAAATAAGGGGCATGCGGTAGCGTAGTTGAGGCATTGTGCTACAAGGCAGAAGGTCGATGGTTCGTTTCCCGTTCTGGTCATTTGATTTTTTTTTCAATTAACCTAACACTTCCAGCCGCAATATGAACCTAGGGTCGACTCAGCCTCTAACATAAATGAATACCAGGAATCTTCTTGGGCGTAAAGGGCGGACGGCGCGTAAGGCCGACAACCTCACTACCATCTCTGAACGGATTGTTTAGAATACATGTGGGAGCCTCGACATCTCATAACCCAATGGGCCTCCACGGCCTGTTACGGAGTTAGCTTTACCTTCTTTTTTTAAACAGGATGCAATGTATGAAAAATACATGTATTAATTATCGTCCATGATATGCATGCCGTGTCCGTCTTGTAGTGCACTCAATTTCACGTGTTATTTCACAACATGTTTCGGCAACATAGTGCCATCATCAGGTGCTCCATTTACGTTAATCTATTGCATTGCTTGCCATTATGTCATTGTAAAATTATTTTAAAAATATTTAAAAATATTCGTCAATTATAATACATTTTTATACACTAAAATCTTGTTACAACACCAGCAGCCAAAAAGGGAACACACATCACGAGACAAGATATACACGGAGTATAAGAGGAACGACTCCCATAGTAGAGGAACCATGCGCGGGTTTGAATTGGGACATATAAGATGAATATCTTAACAAGATTTTAGTATATAAAAATTATTATAATTGACGAATATTTTTAAATATTTTTTAAATAATTTTACAATGACATAATGGCAAGCAATGCAGTAGATTAACGTAAATGGAGCACCTGATGATGGCACTATGTTGACGAAACATGTTGTGAAATAACAGGTGAAATTGAATGCACTGCAAGACGGACACGGCATACATATCATGGACGAAAATCAGTGCAACAGGACGCTAAAATACAACATTATTTATTAATTAAATTAATAAAACTGAAGTCGAAGCTGAAGAAAAGCAAAAGAAAATCTTAAATTGCGTCAGGCTAGGTTCAGTTCAGATTTGTTTTGTGTTCTTAAAGGTTCGGCTACACAGAGCGCCTACGTACGCGACGTACGGTATGTTCCCTATGTTAACTGCGTCGCAGAGTGTACACAGCGTACGTAGCGTACGTAGCGAACATAGCGTAGCGCTCTGTATGGCCGAACCTCAATGCAGTGCTCTTTTTACAATTGGACTGAAGCATAAATTATGTTACATAGGTACGTAGATTTGGCTTATCGCCAACCTGAGTGTCACATAAACATGAATAAGATGGAATGCGAATTTACTGGTTATTATAATGGAAGCGTTAATCGTAATCTCATTTGTTTTTTTATGTAAATAAAATACTTCCAGAATTACAGAATATTACTTCCTTTTCTCACATTAGAAACTTTTTTCTTTTTGTTACAAGCAATTGTAATTTCATGGATATTAACATGCAATTTATAATCTTTTTTTTTTATTGCAGAATGAGGCTTTTAAATGTAAACTGTATATTTTGTAATTCTGTTGCACTTACCGGATGAGGCTATATAAGAGTGTGGAGTTGTATGGCATTTGCAAATATTTAATTATTTCATAGTGGTTTGTGGATTAACTGCCGAATAGTGTAGCCGCGCGGTCTAAGGCATGAACTGTCTTCGCCTGCTCAAACGCTGGGGTTATAGGTTCGAATACATTTGTGTTGTCCTGTTTGTATGTAGAGGCCTTGCGACGGGCTGATCTCCCTTCCAAGGAGTCCTATCGAATGTGTATACGATTAAGAAACTGAAAAGGTGGCCAAGGCCCAACAAATGGCTGTAGAGCCATAATAGATCAACTGATGGCCTACTAAACAACGTAAACCTAAGCATAATATTGATTAATGTAGTATTTAGCTCTACTCAGTTTTCTTTCCTTAATTTTAATGATTATTATCTAATAAGTTCCATCGTTTTTTTATAACCGAATCCTTCTTGAGAATCTAATAATCACTCAGATCATTGAAGAAAGCGTCATCTTTTAAGAAATCTGAGGATTTACAATAGCCTGCCATTGGACTTTGTCCTTTACATTGTTACGTTCCAATTCCAAAAGATCCAGTTTAATATTATCCTCTCATCTACGTGTAGTTTTCTTTCGTACCTACTTTTCTTGAGGTTTCCCTATCAAAATTTTTCATTTATTTCTTATGGAGGGTGAACATATATTTAGACTAATAGACTAAATTAAGATTCGCATGTAGCCAGTCCTTGGCATTTGGCGTTGACGTGCCGTTAGTATAGTTTTGTGTTAAATCGGTTATTGATGAGGAACAAAGACCATTATGTCTTCTTGTGGCGTTAATTATGTGATTCGGTCACTACAGGCTTAATTGCAATGTCAGCATCATTAAGACTTGATTGCCATGCAGTCACGGACGCAACATTTGCATACGTGGCAGCTCCATGTGAAATAATGTGTACGTAGTCCTTCTTCCGATAATTAATATGACGTATCAAATTTCTGTTTCCTGGTGGACGATTTGGAAACGAGCACGCAGTTATAAGGTTCATCGCTTTATAGTCGTATCGGTTAGGCTGTATTTGTAGGTAGCAAGGTCTTTGTCAAGAACAGCACGCGCAAGTTCTGGCAAACCTCACAACACAGAGAATCGCTGATAGACATCACAATGCAACACAGCGAAACGCCGATTGACATAACAAGGCAACACAGAATAACAAGCGAAAGTTCTGGCAAATGTCACAACACAGAGAATCGCTGATAGACATCACAAGCTAACACAGCGAAACGCTGATAGTCATCACCAGGCAAAACAGCGAAATTCTGATAGACATTACAAGGCAACAAAGCGAAATGCTGACAGACATCACAATACAACATATAAAAACTTAAACGGATGCTGGAAAATATCACAACACAGAGAATCGCCGATAGATATCACAAGGCAACACAGACAAACACAAAAAATTCCGGAAAGTAACAGAGAATATGCTGATAGACATCACAAGGCAACACAGAAAGATACAAATTTCTGGCAAATATCACAACACAGAGAATCGCTGATAGATATCACAAGACAACACAGCGAAACACAAAAAGAAGTTCTGAATCTCTGACAGACATCACAAAACAGAAGAACGCTGATAAACATTACAAGACAACAGAGAACAAGTCAGAAAACCCATGAAACACAAGACAACACAGAGCAACTGACAAAAAAAAAAAAGCTGACAAACAGAAGGAAAGATCTTATTTATACAGACCAAAATTTAAAAAGAAGGCTGAAATCTTTGCTCAGATGAGAAGGAGCTACAGTATTATATAAGCTTTGGAAACTTCTGGAATAGAGGATAGCAGAGAAGAATGGTTACCTGACTGAATAAAATTGATTTTATGAGTTTTCATTTTTTACGGCTGTGATTCTGGAGTAGGGATGCTCAGTCGGTATACCGACTGGCTACAGGCTGCACGACCAAGTGGTCGGAGTTCGAGCCCCGGTTGGGGCCAAGAAGTTTCACTTTTCTCCATGTCGTCCAGACCGTTCCTGGGGCTCACCCAGCCTCCTATCCAATGGGTACCGGGGGCTCTTTCTCCGGGTGTAAAGCGGCAGGGGCGTGAAGCTGACCACTCACCTACAACTAGTGCCGAAGCCAAGAAAATTTGGATCTATATATCCACTCCCCCTGCTCCTTCATGGCGTAGTGCTTAATTAGTTAAGCACAGCGACAGCTATACCTTTTACCTTACAGCTGTGATTCTACTGTCTCCTGGAATGTGACACCGTGTGATCTGGTCGAACGTTACCCACGTATCCGAGGTAGAAGGTTTAGAAGAATTATTTTGCTGTCTCGAAGACGGAAACGGTAGGTTCCTCCAAAATCCTGTTAATATTCCATCAGGCTAGGCGCCTGCGTATTGCAGCAGATAATCTTGTCTATGCCGGACTTGGTTCTTCAGAAAACAAGTGCGTAACGATATATAGGCTGCACGGTTATGAAGTCGGTACCGGTTTTAGACTAATCCATAGAGGTTAGATAGTTTTTCTTATTTTCTTTGATGTGGTGTGAGAATGAGTCAACTTGTTACGTCGGCCACTAATTGTCCTATTGTGCCAGCCCCGGATGAAAGTTAATTAGTGTGGAGCAGTCGCTGGAATGAGAATTGGTAAGGGAAACAGATAGCCGAGAGGTCCAACGCATGCACTGTCTTCGCTCGCTCGGAAGCCGGGATCGTGGGTTCAAATCCCACTCAGGGCATGGATGTTTGTGTGCGTTTTTCTGTGTTTGTCTACAGGTAGAGGCCTTGCGACGAGCTGATCACTCGCCCAAGGAGTCCTACCGTATGTGTAAGATCTAGAAAAACCGAAGTGAACGGAGTTCATGGAGGTAGGCCTAGGCCCACTGGGGATGTAGTGCCAAGGGAAAGGGAAACCGAAGTACTCGGAGAAAACCTGCCCCAGTTCCACTTTGTTCACCACAAACCCCATATGACCTGACGTAGGCTCGAACCCGGGC